TGTGTTTTATGTTGTAATTTTAATTTTCTTCTTTATAGCGATATTTGGAAATTAGGTAGAGATTTTACTGAATTTCCAGCAAGTAAAGTGGTGGAAAATAATTGTATAGATTGTGGTACATTTGCAAATAGAGTATTAAATAGATCTTGTCGTTGGAGTTTAGAGAAATTAACTGTACATTTGGTTAGTTTTTGTAAATTTAGAACATACCTATGTAAAACTATAAATAGACAAATGTTATGTTTTATTATTTTAGCTGAACAAAAGTCTAGATAAAAATTCAAAAGTAAGAAAAAGTAAATGGCATATACATCCTCTAAACGATAACCAAAAAATGTATGCCGCAACAGATGCTTATGTATGTTATTTTTATTTATGTTTAATTATGTTTTATTAAGTTTAATTTTATTGTATTTTAAGTTTAGTTATTACAAACACTTTTTTAAATAGGTTTCATGGCTTCTATACATTACCATACAAGAAAAAGCAAATTTAAAAGAGATTTAAGAAAATGTGAATTGTATATAATTTGGGTTAATAAATACTTAATGATATACCAAATCAGATTTAAAGAAATTGTAATCGCAAGGAAAATATTACTACTTTATCATGTCTTCAATGCTGGTCAAAGTTTTGTGGGCAGGCAGATTAAGTTATGGTTCTGGACTTAAGTTACAAAAAATATTAGCCAACCAGCATCATCAAACCTTAAGCAAGGATACTTGTAATACATTAGTATTGCTTGAACATGATCCAGTGTTTACAATTGGAATTAGAGATAAAGGATATACAGTTGAAGAAAAAGAAAGATTGAAAAAATTAGGTGCTGAATTTTTTAGAACAAATCGAGGTGGTCTTATAACTTTTCATGGACCTGGACAATTAGTGGCATATCCTATATTAAATCTAAAACAATTTAAATCCAGTGTTAAGTGGTACGTCTCTCAAATAGAAGAAATGGTAATTCGTTTGTGTGCAGAATATGGCATTAAAGCTGAAACATCACCTGATACTGGCGTATGGGTAGGTGATAAAAAAATTTGTGCAATTGGTATTCATGGAAGTCGTTATATAACAACACATGGTTTAGCTCTAAATTGTAATACAGATTTAAGTTGGTTTGATCATATTGTACCTTGCGGTATCGAAGGAAAGGGTGTAACTAGTATCATTGAAATATTTGAAAAAAATTCATGATATTAGATTGTTATATTAACAATTTGCTTCTAAATTATCTATTTTTAAAGATTAGATATATTTGTGTATTGGAGAAAAAAAATGATCACTTTTGTATGTACAACTGACAATAAGTTGACTACATAATGTCAAAAATAAATCAGAGAGAACATTATGCTAGGGTAAAATAATCAATTAAATTAGTTGTTATTTAAAATCGTAAAATACATTTTTTAATTTTATATCAATGCGCTTTCTATAAAATCGTACCTTCAGTACTATCTGACGGTAAATGGAGAAACTAACTGCTTGCACCGATGAAATAATACAGGATACTGCCGAAGTAAAGTTGGCGTGGAATATTAATATTTCTTAACAATTTGTCTTAAAAAATTGTTTCCCATTTGCTCCCTCGGAATCTAAAATTGCTCCAGTCGCAAATATTATATTTAATTACATATTAGCAAATAAAGAAGCAGAAATTTGTTATCTACAAAGTAGATAATAAATGGTCTTTTTACAAAGGTATTATGGTGCCAAAAATCCACTCCTGATTTGTTTTATAAAATTCAACGACCAGATATCTAAATAACAACTTATTAACAAGGAGCAGTTAAAAATAAATATTGCGTATCTGCCGGTAAGTTATGAAGTCTGTACACTAGCACTAGTGTATTTACAGACTTTAGTATAATAGACAGCACTTCTTTGAAAGAGACACAGGTGGAGGTGGTTTAAAATTCTTTTGATGATCCTGGGACCAGAACTCTTACATACATTTCAGACTGCTTCGTGGCCATGGCTATCTTAATAGCACTATATTTCTTTTGCTCAGAATCAAGGACTTTAATGAGTTCTTCATATGCAAACTCTGATGGCACCCCTCCAGGCACGTACTTTGAAATAATAGCAATTCTGTTTTTATCAGGAGCAAATCCTTTATTTATATACGCTTTGAGCACCCTAATCACTATCCCCTTCCTTAGATTTTCGTCCGTTAAGTTACGAGTGGCTGCAATAGAAGAACATACAGCTATGTCGATGTCAGATTTTCTAAGATACTGCCCACCACTTTGTGTACTTTGACTTAAATTCACTAGTAGCTCCACTTCCGTTATGCCAAGTTCTTCAGCCAATGAGCTTGTATCATCCTTACTGAAAAACGCACAAGCAAGGGGGGTCAAAAATTTGTAACCTTCATGATAACCCATTTTGATAAATCGTGAAAATGTCTCTAGAGCTAGTAAACCAGCTTCCTCAACTGAAAGGACCATACATTTTGAAGTATATTGCACATTTTCTGGTTTGTAATTCACGACAAATACCCTGTGTTCGTTTTGGGCTTTATGAAAGATAAATTTCCAGATCTTATCTGTTATACACTGATTAACTTTACGCAATTCTGGGCCAATTTGAAATATGATCTCAGTACAAAATAGCAACGCCTTTGATGATTTATTTTGTTCAAGTTCCTCCATATAATCGTCACAGTGTTTCTTGAACTCCACCTTGAGTTCTTCCATGTTGTACTCGAAGCCACTGTGAGGGTTGAAAACATCCCTTGGTGTTATTCCGCGAATATGGTATTCTTTTTCGATTGTGTGCCTTAACAAGACACTAGGTACTGTGTGCCTTAACAAGACACTAGGAGGTACTGTGTATCTTACAACCTTAGGGTGTGCCATTTTCTTTAAACCACAGTGAGCGTTGAAAAACTCCCTTGGTGTCATTCCGCGAATATAGTATTCTTTTTCGATTGTGTGCCTTGACAAGACACTAGGTACTGTGTGTGCCATTTTCTTTAAACCACTGTGAGCGTTGAAAAACTCCTCTGGTGTTCTTCCTAATATATGGAATACTATTTTCACAGATATATGTGTAAACTATAGGTACTGTTTTAATCTTGCTATAATGTTAGATACACGACTCTATTATACGAAGAAGCTCAATTTCTGAACAGGGTATCTCTCTGATCATTTGTATGTAACTATCTTTGTTACAGACGCCTTCAAGTTCAAAACTGATCTCGCACTTACGACCAAACAAGTTTCGACCTGCAATGCGCATTCGTGAGTGTTACATAACTCACGGCCCAGAAATCCCTGAATTTCCCTACACCGCAAGGCGGACACGCAACGACGCAACAGTATGTATACCACAGTTCACCAGAGTCCATACTGCGACGCGCAGGTTGGAAGATGGTGGGGGAACGCAGCGAGCTCTCCGCCAATCGCTTTCCACTTCGTTTGGGAGTATCGCCAATCAGGGCGAAGATGCGCACTGGAGATGCGCGAAGAACGAAAACTGGTCTTTTCGCAGTTATGGACTCTGGTGAACTGCGGTATACATACAATTCTCTCGTGGAAGATACTATCACAGCCTACTGTAAGCTGTGATCACATACCGTGATACCGTGCTGTCATACTATATAGAGAGTTACATATCTGTGAAATTGTTGAAAAATATTTATTGTTAGAATTCAAAAACAGTTTGTAATTCTATATAAGCTCCTCTAATTTAAATTTTCAACAATAAACAGAAATTTTATTACTATGGTATAATTCATAATGCAGAATCATTAATAATTCTCAAGCTCTCAAGAGGTTAATGTAATTTACATTTATTTATATACAATCTTGTAATATATCACACATTAAATGTAAATTAAATATAAAATGTACATATATACATATTTTTCACTCCAATATTTTTATTAAAAATTCACTGTAATACTTTATTAACCTAGTATGTAAAATGCAATTTGTTTTTAGTAATGAATGCATTAAAAACGCAATCGGAAAAAGGACGTATAACAGAAAAAAAGCTTAACATGTCTGTTTTACCATTTATTTCATTCAAAGGTTGCATTAATTATGTCAGTGAGTTTGATACATGTGCTATGATTTGTGATAATATTATGTAAGATTTATGTAATTAATATGACACAATAAATAGATGTTTTAATATATGTTTTATTATTATCATAATTTTTTTAGCAAAGAAGTGGACAATTATGACAGTGATATAGTACCAGTAGGATTTGATTTAGAGTGGCCTTTTAGTTTTCAAACAGGAAGCGGAAAAACTGCTTTAATACAAATATGTTTGAATAATAATATATGTCATCTATTACATGTATATTCATTGAAAAAGCTACCTGCTGCATTGGTCATTCTTTTAAGTCATCCAAAAGTAAAACTAGTTGGAGTTAATGTAAAAAAGTAAGTTTCTTTCTAAAGAAAAATAATGGTGTGTTTTATGTTGTAATTTTAATTTTCTTCTTTATAGCGATATTTGGAAATTAGGTAGAGATTTTACTGAATTTCCAGCAAGTAAAGTGGTGGAAAATAATTGTATAGATTGTGGTACATTTGCAAATAGAGTATTAAATAGATCTTGTCGTTGGAGTTTAGAGAAATTAACTGTACATTTGGTTAGTTTTTGTAAATTTAGAACATACCTATGTAAAACTATAAATAGACAAATGTTATGTTTTATTATTTTAGCTGAACAAAAGTCTAGATAAAAATTCAAAAGTAAGAAAAAGTAAATGGCATATACATCCTCTAAACGATAACCAAAAAATGTATGCCGCAACAGATGCTTATGTATGTTATTTTTATTTATGTTTAATTATGTTTTATTAAGTTTAATTTTATTGTATTTTAAGTTTAGTTATTACAAACACTTTTTTAAATAGGTTTCATGGCTTCTATACATTACCATACAAGAAAAAGCAAATTTAAAAGAGATTTAAGAAAATGTGAATTGTATATAATTTGGGTTAATAAATACTTAATGATATACCAAATCAGATTTAAAGAAATTGTAATCGCAAGGAAAATATTACTACTTTATCATGTCTTCAATGCTGGTCAAAGTTTTGTGGGCAGGCAGATTAAGTTATGGTTCTGGACTTAAGTTACAAAAAATATTAGCCAACCAGCATCATCAAACCTTAAGCAAGGATACTTGTAATACATTAGTATTGCTTGAACATGATCCAGTGTTTACAATTGGAATTAGAGATAAAGGATATACAGTTGAAGAAAAAGAAAGATTGAAAAAATTAGGTGCTGAATTTTTTAGAACAAATCGAGGTGGTCTTATAACTTTTCATGGACCTGGACAATTAGTGGCATATCCTATATTAAATCTAAAACAATTTAAATCCAGTGTTAAGTGGTACGTCTCTCAAATAGAAGAAATGGTAATTCGTTTGTGTGCAGAATATGGCATTAAAGCTGAAACATCACCTGATACTGGCGTATGGGTAGGTGATAAAAAAATTTGTGCAATTGGTATTCATGGAAGTCGTTATATAACAACACATGGTTTAGCTCTAAATTGTAATACAGATTTAAGTTGGTTTGATCATATTGTACCTTGCGGTATCGAAGGAAAGGGTGTAACTAGTATCATTGAAATATTTGAAAAAAATTCATGATATTAGATTGTTATATTAACAATTTGCTTCTAAATTATCTATTTTTAAAGATTAGATATATTTGTGTATTGGAGAAAAAAAATGATCACTTTTGTATGTACAACTGACAATAAGTTGACTACATAATGTCAAAAATAAATCAGAGAGAACATTATGCTAGGGTAAAATAATCAATTAAATTAGTTGTTATTTAAAATCGTAAAATACATTTTTTAATTTTATATCAATGCGCTTTCTATAAAATCGTACCTTCAGTACTATCTGACGGTAAATGGAGAAACTAACTGCTTGCACCGATGAAATAATACAGGATACTGCCGAAGTAAAGTTGGCGTGGAATATTAATATTTCTTAACAATTTGTCTTAAAAAATTGTTTCCCATTTGCTCCCTCGGAATCTAAAATTGCTCCAGTCGCAAATATTATATTTAATTACATATTAGCAAATAAAGAAGCAGAAATTTGTTATCTACAAAGTAGATAATAAATGGTCTTTTTACAAAGGTATTATGGTGCCAAAAATCCACTCCTGATTTGTTTTATAAAATTCAACGACCAGATATCTAAATAACAACTTATTAACAAGGAGCAGTTAAAAATAAATATTGCGTATCTGCCGGTAAGTTATGAAGTCTGTACACTAGCACTAGTGTATTTACAGACTTTAGTATAATAGACAGCACTTCTTTGAAAGAGACACAGGTGGAGGTGGTTTAAAATTCTTTTGATGATCCTGGGACCAGAACTCTTACATACATTTCAGACTGCTTCGTGGCCATGGCTATCTTAATAGCACTATATTTCTTTTGCTCAGAATCAAGGACTTTAATGAGTTCTTCATATGCAAACTCTGATGGCACCCCTCCAGGCACGTACTTTGAAATAATAGCAATTCTGTTTTTATCAGGAGCAAATCCTTTATTTATATACGCTTTGAGCACCCTAATCACTATCCCCTTCCTTAGATTTTCGTCCGTTAAGTTACGAGTGGCTGCAATAGAAGAACATACAGCTATGTCGATGTCAGATTTTCTAAGATACTGCCCACCACTTTGTGTACTTTGACTTAAATTCACTAGTAGCTCCACTTCCGTTATGCCAAGTTCTTCAGCCAATGAGCTTGTATCATCCTTACTGAAAAACGCACAAGCAAGGGGGGTCAAAAATTTGTAACCTTCATGATAACCCATTTTGATAAATCGTGAAAATGTCTCTAGAGCTAGTAAACCAGCTTCCTCAACTGAAAGGACCATACATTTTGAAGTATATTGCACATTTTCTGGTTTGTAATTCACGACAAATACCCTGTGTTCGTTTTGGGCTTTATGAAAGATAAATTTCCAGATCTTATCTGTTATACACTGATTAACTTTACGCAATTCTGGGCCAATTTGAAATATGATCTCAGTACAAAATAGCAACGCCTTTGATGATTTATTTTGTTCAAGTTCCTCCATATAATCGTCACAGTGTTTCTTGAACTCCACCTTGAGTTCTTCCATGTTGTACTCGAAGCCACTGTGAGGGTTGAAAACATCCCTTGGTGTTATTCCGCGAATATGGTATTCTTTTTCGATTGTGTGCCTTAACAAGACACTAGGTACTGTGTGCCTTAACAAGACACTAGGAGGTACTGTGTATCTTACAACCTTAGGGTGTGCCATTTTCTTTAAACCACAGTGAGCGTTGAAAAACTCCCTTGGTGTCATTCCGCGAATATAGTATTCTTTTTCGATTGTGTGCCTTGACAAGACACTAGGTACTGTGTGTGCCATTTTCTTTAAACCACTGTGAGCGTTGAAAAACTCCTCTGGTGTTCTTCCTAATATATGGAATACTATTTTCACAGATATATGTGTAAACTATAGGTACTGTTTTAATCTTGCTATAATGTTAGATACACGACTCTATTATACGAAGAAGCTCAATTTCTGAACAGGGTATCTCTCTGATCATTTGTATGTAACTATCTTTGTTACAGACGCCTTCAAGTTCAAAACTGATCTCGCACTTACGACCAAACAAGTTTCGACCTGCAATGCGCATTCGTGAGTGTTACATAACTCACGGCCCAGAAATCCCTGAATTTCCCTACACCGCAAGGCGGACACGCAACGACGCAACAGTATGTATACCACAGTTCACCAGAGTCCATACTGCGACGCGCAGGTTGGAAGATGGTGGGGGAACGCAGCGAGCTCTCCGCCAATCGCTTTCCACTTCGTTTGGGAGTATCGCCAATCAGGGCGAAGATGCGCACTGGAGATGCGCGAAGAACGAAAACTGGTCTTTTCGCAGTTATGGACTCTGGTGAACTGCGGTATACATACAATTCTCTCGTGGAAGATACTATCACAGCCTACTGTAAGCTGTGATCACATACCGTGATACCGTGCTGTCATACTATATAGAGAGTTACATATCTGTGAAATTGTTGAAAAATATTTATTGTTAGAATTCAAAAACAGTTTGTAATTCTATATAAGCTCCTCTAATTTAAATTTTCAACAATAAACAGAAATTTTATTACTATGGTATAATTCATAATGCAGAATCATTAATAATTCTCAAGCTCTCAAGAGGTTAATGTAATTTACATTTATTTATATACAATCTTGTAATATATCACACATTAAATGTAAATTAAATATAAAATGTACATATATACATATTTTTCACTCCAATATTTTTATTAAAAATTCACTGTAATACTTTATTAACCTAGTATGTAAAATGCAATTTGTTTTTAGTAATGAATGCATTAAAAACGCAATCGGAAAAAGGACGTATAACAGAAAAAAAGCTTAACATGTCTGTTTTACCATTTATTTCATTCAAAGGTTGCATTAATTATGTCAGTGAGTTTGATACATGTGCTATGATTTGTGATAATATTATGTAAGATTTATGTAATTAATATGACACAATAAATAGATGTTTTAATATATGTTTTATTATTATCATAATTTTTTTAGCAAAGAAGTGGACAATTATGACAGTGATATAGTACCAGTAGGATTTGATTTAGAGTGGCCTTTTAGTTTTCAAACAGGAAGCGGAAAAACTGCTTTAATACAAATATGTTTGAATAATAATATATGTCATCTATTACATGTATATTCATTGAAAAAGCTACCTGCTGCATTGGTCATTCTTTTAAGTCATCCAAAAGTAAAACTAGTTGGAGTTAATGTAAAAAAGTAAGTTTCTTTCTAAAGAAAAATAATGGTGTGTTTTATGTTGTAATTTTAATTTTCTTCTTTATAGCGATATTTGGAAATTAGGTAGAGATTTTACTGAATTTCCAGCAAGTAAAGTGGTGGAAAATAATTGTATAGATTGTGGTACATTTGCAAATAGAGTATTAAATAGATCTTGTCGTTGGAGTTTAGAGAAATTAACTGTACATTTGGTTAGTTTTTGTAAATTTAGAACATACCTATGTAAAACTATAAATAGACAAATGTTATGTTTTATTATTTTAGCTGAACAAAAGTCTAGATAAAAATTCAAAAGTAAGAAAAAGTAAATGGCATATACATCCTCTAAACGATAACCAAAAAATGTATGCCGCAACAGATGCTTATGTATGTTATTTTTATTTATGTTTAATTATGTTTTATTAAGTTTAATTTTATTGTATTTTAAGTTTAGTTATTACAAACACTTTTTTAAATAGGTTTCATGGCTTCTATACATTACCATACAAGAAAAAGCAAATTTAAAAGAGATTTAAGAAAATGTGAATTGTATATAATTTGGGTTAATAAATACTTAATGATATACCAAATCAGATTTAAAGAAATTGTAATCGCAAGGAAAATATTACTACTTTATCATGTCTTCAATGCTGGTCAAAGTTTTGTGGGCAGGCAGATTAAGTTATGGTTCTGGACTTAAGTTACAAAAAATATTAGCCAACCAGCATCATCAAACCTTAAGCAAGGATACTTGTAATACATTAGTATTGCTTGAACATGATCCAGTGTTTACAATTGGAATTAGAGATAAAGGATATACAGTTGAAGAAAAAGAAAGATTGAAAAAATTAGGTGCTGAATTTTTTAGAACAAATCGAGGTGGTCTTATAACTTTTCATGGACCTGGACAATTAGTGGCATATCCTATATTAAATCTAAAACAATTTAAATCCAGTGTTAAGTGGTACGTCTCTCAAATAGAAGAAATGGTAATTCGTTTGTGTGCAGAATATGGCATTAAAGCTGAAACATCACCTGATACTGGCGTATGGGTAGGTGATAAAAAAATTTGTGCAATTGGTATTCATGGAAGTCGTTATATAACAACACATGGTTTAGCTCTAAATTGTAATACAGATTTAAGTTGGTTTGATCATATTGTACCTTGCGGTATCGAAGGAAAGGGTGTAACTAGTATCAGCAAAGAACTAAGCAAAAATATAACTATTCAAGACATATTACCACTTTTTCAAAATGCTTTTCAAGATCAATTTAATTGTACATTAATTCCATACTCAATAGAAGAATCTATGAAATTACTTAAAACTGCCAACGATGTGTGTGAATGAATTTAAAACATGTTGTGCATAATGTAATGATTTTAACAAATTCATATTTGTAATATTTTACTATTTGATTAAATTTTTTATTAGTAATTAGGTATAGAATAAAATTAAATCCAATTTATTTCCTAAAAGCAGATCCCCCTTCCTCTCAGTCAGTTGAAAGGAAAACATAAAAAGGTAAAAAAAGTAAAACAGTTCGTAACAACTGTTTGTACAAGCTATGAAAGAAATCCAGGCCAGTTTTGAATGTTTTATTCAGTATCATAAAAAAATTGATTTTGAATTATTTAATATGAACTTACTCTGTTGTTATTACAAATAAACTTTTTGCGCAATATCAATCTTGCGTCCGTCATGGTTGGCTGACGTCAATGGTTTGTGCTACTTTTTTTTTCAATTACAATGGTTGTTAAGAATTAAATTAATATTTGATTTTATATTTGAATATACAAATTGCAATAAAATATGTTTCCATAATTCCTTATTCACTTTCTTACTTTTCTAGAAATTCTAATTAAAATTCCCTTACATATGTACATTGACAAGGTGTATAGTATGGTACAATGAAATATGAACAACGATTAAAAACCTATTTGTACTAAACAATGTTTTCTTTTTTTTGTAGCATGTATAAATTAAGAAGTTTCCTTTATTTGAACGATTTGTTTTATCTTCTCTTTACTTTCATACAACCATTTAGCCATTAGGTCTTTAGGTTGATAATTTTGTATAGTTACCGATATCAATGCGTCAATCCGTTGAGCATCGATGCCCAAATTCATATTTGGTGACCTATAAGCGATTTAAAGATTTTTTATATACATATATGTCTGGGGGAAAATATGACAGTTAAAATAAGAAGGTATTTACAAACCTCGACAAACAAGCAGCTATAAATGTAGCCCAGCTTTCAATATCACTAGGATAAGTGAATAGAAGTTTCTGCAACAATCTCTTACTGCTTGGTAGCGAATTTTGTATACAGTAACTATAAAATGATGCACATGCAATATGTGTAACATTTTCAGTAGCAGTATTTCTACTAAGAAACAGTGTTTTCTGTGCACATCTACTAAAAGATTTTAAATCTGTTTCCAATAAAATTCTTAGCAATTCCTTCCAATACCTTACATCACCTATAAGTAAGAATGAAAAAGCGTGTTTACAAATATTAGTAATAATTTATTATGTAAATATATATATATAAATTAATATATATGTTACTTACCAGGATAAGTAAAAATTGCTTTAGAAAGAGTAGCAATAGCACTTTTAATATTATTTCCAATTATATAGAAATATGCTAACAAATTTGTAACATGATGTCCATGTACAGAGTGATTTTTATAGATCTTTAATTCATTCAATACCAACGTAGTCAAATTTACATCTCCATGCAGTATGCCCAACGCTGCAGCCGCTAAGAGACCCATTATAATTGGTGGTTGTATCTGTATACATTGAAACAGTAAAATTTTTGCATCTTGTACTCTCTGAAACGTATATGCTATTGCTGCCATTGCGCATAATGTATAAGCTTTCTGTGTATCAGTATTAGCATACAAGTTCAATGTTGTTTCATAGGTATTATATGATTCTTCATATTTTGCGGCTAAAAATAAAATTATGTCAGATGAATTCAAATAAAACTTGTTAATATACAGTAAAAATGTATTATCACCTTTGAACAAAGATAATGCTAAATAACATTGAGAATTGTAAGTGGTTTCTTTGACAGCTTGACAAAACTTTACAGCTTCGTCATACTTAGCGAGTTGCAGTAAAACACGGGCTAGATTTATACACACAGAATCTTTTTCTTCGTTAGTACAGACGCATACAGCTGCAGCAAATTGTTCTGCTGCTGATTTATAAAGTTTCTGCCTCTCAAGTAACAATCCGTATGCGTTTCGAGCATAACAATCATTAGGATGGCGCTCTAAAATGTATAAAAACGTATACTGGTATAGATAATTACAAATTTATAATTATCTATGATTAACTATGAAATAAACTTACCAACATACCAAGTCACAACATCAGTAGCTACAAACACGGCGTGCATTTTTTCTATTATATATGTATGAAAATGATTCTTTTCGATGTCAGGATTTAAGATCATAGTAAGTACCGAATGAGTATATCCCACTGCAGCTTGATCGTGATATCCTAGTTGTGTGCAATGTCTAAATAAATCTATTGCTTCTTTTCTGGACAATTTTTCAGCAATTATAGCCTGCCCTACCCAGCTATTTATATATGCGGGATCTAAACGCTGAGCTTGAGAATAAGCTTCATTTCCCTTATATAAGTTTCCTGTAATAGAAAATTCAATAGAAAGAAATAACTTTCAAGTTCTTACTTTGCATTCTTTTACTATTAATAATTGTTATCTTGAATTTTCATACATTTTTAATTTAAACATACCTATATGTAGATACAAAGTTCCCAAATTACAGCAAACTATAGCACTGTTTAATCCTTTATCAATTGCCATGATGAAAGCATGCTGAGCTAATGCGTAATTTTTTATATATGGCGACATACAGATTACACCCAAAAGATTCCAGTGTAACCACATTGAAGGACACAGTTTAACAGCATGCTTTGCAGCAGCAAGACATTTACCAGCTAATTTTGTATGATCAACTGATGGGTCAAGCTGTAGCTGCATTAAATAACATAAAGCTAAATCGTACCATAGGAGAGATGAATGTGGAGACAGTGATAATGCAGAACAGTAACATCTGTAAATAAAATATTGATTTAGTAATCTATAAAGCACATACAGCAAGTTTTCATGATAATTTCATAGCACTGTTAATTACAGCATAACATTTGTTTAAATAGTATATATTCTTTTCTTTTCAAATCGTCACTTTTTACAAGATGATAGAAAACGAAAAGGATCAGTCGGATCGAGTCGGAAATGCTATATGCGTTATATTGCAAGTTATGTTAAATTATTTGTACATTATTATATTTTGTTCCTTTGAAATTAATTATTTCTCAACGAATGTGTGAAGTGACCTTGTTGAAGTTTATTCTTACATATACATATGTATAAGAATCTTTAATGTGTCTGTTTGACGAGACTAATAAAGACTTCCTGGACAATGTTTAATCGTTTGAGTGCCACAGACTTTACAAAAATCCGATCGAAAAATGCCTACTAGAAGTTAGCCCCCCACTTGTAAAATTATTAAAGTTTGACAATTCTGCTCACTTGTACTAGATTTGTGCTACATTGTGCTCGAATATTAAAATCGTAATGTGAAAAATACGATGGAAAAAGGAAAAAAACGATTTTTTAGACCAGCCCCCCACTTTCCATGTATTTCAATTTTTCCAATTGTGCTAAGTTGTGCTAACATTGTGCTAAAATACCGCTCTCGAAAAATGACTAAAAAAAATCTTACGATAAAAAAGTCATTTCTAGTAATATGGAACATATTTAATATTATTATCAGTATGCTTTGTCTGACAAACACAATATTGTATATTTGAGTTGTGCTAGATTAGCACAACTTTCAATTCCTCCGGAACATCGATATAAATGGCACTTTACTCTTGTTCGCGATGCGTTGCGCTACAGTTTTCCATCCAAAACATGCATTCGCAATCATCTGAGGGACATAATATTGTATATTTGAATTGTACTAGATTAGCACAACTTTCGATTCCTCCGGAACATCAATATAAATGGCACTTTTGTCGCTCTTCTCTTGATTTTTTCCCGAAAAAATCAGATAAAGGCTATAATATATCCGACGCGTCCGGGAAGACTCATCGGATCGTGACCAAACTTGGTATGGTGATAGACCTTGACCTCCACAGTAACCACCTTGAATATTATTCGGTGCACGCTTTTGGTTTCCGAGATATGAGGTTCGAAAGTTGGGTTTTGGACTTAGTCAAAATTCGATTTCATGGGAAATCTAGCACGACACCATGTATATCGGGTCTGGTTGCCATAGCGATTCTTCGGAGGAGATCACTGTGAACTTTTGAATCAAGAGAAGAGCGTTTTTTTCCTATCGGAAATGTAATTGGTTCGTGATGCGTCGATGCACGAATCCCTACTTCTTTCATGCGAGTTTCGTGAAATATGACAATCTACGGATCGGCTTTTGTTCTTTCGTTTTCAGCTAATGCTCTATGTACACCGCAGTTCACCAGAGTCCATAACTGCGACGCGCAGGTTGAAAGATGGTGGGGGAACGCAGCGAACTCTCTGCTAATCTCTTTCCACTTCGTTTGAAAGTATCGCCAATCAGGGAGAAGATGCGCACTGGAGAAGCGCGAAGAACGAAAACTGGTCTTTTCGCAGTTATGGACTCTGGTGAACTGCGGTATACGTACCTACGAGCGTAACGCTGCAAATAGTTGTTTCAGTTGCAAAAGTTTTTACTTTTTTTAATATATTGTTTTTCAAGGTATATTTTAGTACTTCATTAGTATGGCTCAACACGCGTTGGAACTGTTAAATATAATTTTAGTAGGCGAATATAAGATTCTTTCGGGTTTTTCCGGTCAACCTATTGCACCAAGTTCAGATATATGAAAAAATTGGTAATGTTTTTTGAAAATGTAACTTGGAAAAATCTGTCGCCAAAGTACATTTATACCATTTTAAAAGCAAACAGATATGATCTTTGGGATAACTGTAGGGCGACGAATCGCGAACAAGAGTAAAGTGCCATTTATATCGATGTTCCGGAGGAATCGAAAGTTGTGCTAAGTTGTGCTAATCTAGCACAATTCAAATATACAATATTGTGTTTGTCAAACAAAGCATACGGATAATTTTTATCGTAAGATTTTTTTTAGTCATTTTTTGAGAGCGGTGTTTTAGTACAATGTTAGCACAACTTAGCACAATTGGAAAAATTTAAATATACGGAAAGTGGGAGGCTGGCTTAAAAAATCGTTTAATTTTACATTTCTGTTAATTATTTATCTAATCATTTGCGTCCTAAAACAGCCAGGTTGCAAAGATACTGATGTTCAATCATGTAACATTAACAACGTGTTTTGGTACTGAAACGGTTAACTGACACTATATTTAAATATCAACAACCTAAGATAACGTTGGTAGCGTATAAGAAATGATAACATATCTAACACATCGCTTCCCGGATGGACGGTCTTATACATATAGACGTGCTTTTACAGACATAGTTTGTAAGAGTTTACGGACTTTCAGAGTAATAACGATGCCAATTCAGAATTAGTTTATAAACTAGACGAAGGCATGAATTTTTATTTTGTGTAAGTTTAATATAGTGTAATTGCTAAAACTCTTCAACTATCTCATCCTAATGCAATTGGTACATACCTTGATGACAAAAGAAATAAGTCTCTTCGTTTAAGCATTACAATATCTTCGGTATCGTCACGTTTTATTAAAATAGAGGATACTTGTAAATGACCATACTTTTCTGGCATTGTTGCAACTCTATAACACACATCGCCTAGTAATTTCCAGATGCAGGATGTATTTTTACGTTCTTTAATAGCCGTAGTTAAACAATCCATTGCCAGTTGTAGATGGTTCTTAGCACGACCCAACAACTGTTTAGCAATATATTCCTTTGCTAGTGCTAAACAGGTTTCACCCAATCCTTTTAAAGCAGGAATATAATTTGGTTCGTTCAACAGTAGATTTTCAAAATCTATTTTGGCTTCATTGTATTGTTTAATAATCTACAAAATAGTATTATATATTAGTAACAGTTTAGATACTTTTATAAATACTCCGTTTAAAGTATGTAAAGTTATGTATATTGTTAAATAATTTACTGACTAATTTTATGTTTGCCAGTTGTATTATGGGATACAATGATTTCGGGCATAATTCTAATGCTCGTTGGTACGATTTTAATGCTGACGTGTATGCACCCCGTACGAAATATGCATCAGCTAAAGATTCCCAACAGTGACTGTAAGAAATAATGAGTTATCAAAACTTTATACCTGACTTTTTATCAATTATAGTAATAATTCATTATCCAGCAGTTTCGTGTGGATGTTGCTCATTAATTTCAAATAACAGTAGAGACAGTTCAAATGTAATTAATGAATTCGTTCAATACATAATTATTACTATACTAATACTATTATGTAATACTTGTCATAAGGATCAGCTCTAATAACATGTTGAAATGCTTTAATAGCTTGTGCTGCATCTCCTTGATCGAGATACTGCAATCCAAGTTGCAACCATGCCCATTTGGGACCGCTATCTCGTACAGTTAACTTTTGTAACAGTTGAATATTAGCATCCTAGAAACAATATTTTGTATAAATACTCATGAAAATATAATACAGAAATACTCATCCGATGCTTACCTGATTTTTAAGAAGTCTGTATGCAGTACTTAAACCAATACCAGCTTCTTCAGAATTTGGATTGATTTGTAATGCAGTTTGATAACATCTTCTGGAACGCTCAATATCATTACCATGTTCGCGGTAATAGTGACCCAAGTAAACCAAACACTCCCAATTGTAACGATCCGTTTTTATTCCATTTAAAAAGGCCATCAGACTATAGTTATACTCTGCCATCTCCCAGTATATTGTACCAAGAAGCAACCATGCTTCAGACGTTTCCAAAGCTGAATCAAGACTATTTACAGCTTCCTCAAATTGTTTATGCCGTTTCAAATAAAATGCTCGAAGGATATTAGCCTGAACTTTAGTTTCGAATTTTGATTCCAAATTATTTAGTTTAATGTGCACATCAGGATCGTCCAGTAGTATAGCGATGCGCGCACAAACCAATTCCAATTTCGCTGATGCGTATTTCTTTAAATTCTAATAATAAATTTAAGATATATATATATATAAGTATAATATTTAACAAATAATAAATATATAAATGAAAGTGTAATTCATATTAATGAAGGGGTGAAGTTGACGATTGGTGGGGGGCTGCGCAACGTGTCGCGTCACGCGTGATCAAGGATGCGTTTTGTTTTTTAAAGTTAGTCGTATAAGATCCGTCGAGTAGCATGGTCGACGGAGTGTTACATTCTTTTTTTCTATTTTATTTTGTTCTTTATGTATTTATCACAATTAAAGTTATTTTCTTAAATTTCGAAACGAAGAGTCTCCATTCATTCGTCCTCCTCGATTTATTCGATCCTACAAGTGGGGGCTCGTTCGGGGTCGAGAGAGGCAAACGGACGTAGAAGAATTGGAAGACTAAAAAAACGCGGTTGATACATGCAGTTCTAGTTCGCGATCGGATAAGTCGGATTTAACAGATGTGCGGTACGGTGGAAAGTTGACCACCTGTCGGTAAGTCGCAAATTGTAATATCCGGAACGTAACGATCGAACAAGACGAAGTTGTAACCGTGGTGCGAGGCGTTGACGTATAAGTTGAACAAGTTGTTAAAGAAATAAAATAACGACAGTCGCGATGAGTAAACAGCAGGTAAATAGCACTGTCGCTACCCAACAAAATGAACAGAGTGACGGAAGTGAAGCTGAAAACAATGGTACAGACACGATGAATAGTACAATAGTTGCTAAAGACCGAATGGAGGTAACGCCTGGTGCCAATGCAAGGAAAGAGCTGTCGGAGGAAATGATTAACAAAATGAAAGTGTCTCAGCTAAGGGACGAGTTACAACGACGCAACTTGCCGACTGGTTAATAATCGTATCTGGTACTGTTTTTCTATCATCGTGCGCAGCGGCTAGTAAAAGTTTCATTTAAAAAAAGTCAAAAATAAAAAAGTTTTTTGATTCAATTAGCATTAGTCACACCGATACGTTTCGGCTCTTTCCTTTGATCATCGGACCTCTCTCTTTCCGCCACTGTCTGTCCCTAAGTTCACGCTTGGCTGTTCGTCGGGTGTGACCGGAGATTCGACACCTCGCTTGGATAAATGCAACCACTGGGTCCCAATCTCGGTTGCACTTATCCAGGTTTTACTGTATACGCGTCGAAAGTGGAACCGTGTGTTTATACAGGCAATATTGATGGTCAAGTTATGATAATTGTTGTCTATGTAGATGATTTGCTCTTAGCGTCGAAGTCATTAGAGGTTTTATACAAAGTGAAGTCAGAACTAAGTAAGATTTTTAAAATGAAAGACTTCGGGCCGGTGAGAGAAATGTTAGGAATACGCATCGAGAGAGAGGAAGATACAGGGTCAATTAAAATTTCACAAAAAGAGTACACAAATAAGTTAGTAGAGAAATTTGGAATGGGTGCATGTAAACCTGTATCTACTCCGTTAGCATCCGGAATTAAATTGTCAAAGGAAATGGAGGCAAAGACTCCTGAAGAAAAAAGGGAGATGGAAAATAAACCGTACAGGGAATTAATAGGAAGTCTCCCGCTATTTAGCTAACACTACAAGGCCCGACATATCATTTGTAGTAGGAGCTTTGAGCAGATATTGTATAAATCCAGGCGTGCAGCACTGGAAGTGTGCAAAACACGTTATTCGTTACTTAAAGCAAACCGTAGATTATGGAATAATGTATCGAAAGACTGGGAAACCTTTGTACACCTATACAGACGCGGATTGGGCCGGCGATCAGGATGATCGTAAGTCATGCTCGGGAAGTGTGCATATTTTAGCAGGAGCTCCAATAAGCTGGTTCTCAAAGAAACAAACAATAGTAGCGCTTTCAACAATGAAAGCCGATTATGTAGCCCTTTCCGAGACAACAAAAGAAACTACATTTGCGTAGATTAATCAAAGAAATGTACGGTGATCAGTATGTGCAAAGACCGACCGATATTCTATGCGATAACCAGAGCGCTATAGTGTTAAGCAAAGAAAAGATGCTCCACCAAAGAAGCAAACATATTGAGATTAAATTTCATTTTTATAGAGATGCTCAAAGTAAAGCTTTGATTTCAGTTAAATTTGTTTCGACAGACAAAAGTACGGCAGACATACTAACAAAGTCTTTGGTGAAAGATCGACACATAAATTGCACTCGTTCCTTAAATATGTTATCCACTTAGTTTGTAGTGATTAGATTGTAATGATATATCGCGATATATTCCGACGTCGACTGAGGAGACCCCGCTCCACTTTTTTTCGACTGTGTCGCTGGCGATCGTGTTTAGTGCGAATTGAGATGCCATAAAGAGAACGCGAAATAAAGAACGTCCAACCAAACAAAAGTTGTACTGATTTTTAACCTGCGCCTGCTAACAAATGTAACTTTAATTTAATAAACTTTTTACTCATTACTACTTAATACAATCAAACGAGAACGTTTTTTTGGTTGAACGATATCACTTCACTTTCGCAATTTTCTTATCGTGTTAGAGCGAAACCGTGTTATGAGATGCCGTGTTGTACCCTCTCGCTAGAGGACACAAAGAAACTGGCGACAATGACTCCCTTGACCGCACCATGAAGACACACAGAGTCAACTCGGCCCGGGTAGGTCCCCAATACGGACCTCTTTATGGTATGGTCCAGGGGTACATTGTCGCCAGTGTTCCTTTGTGTCCCCTAGCGAGAGGATCACTCTGTAGAAGGGCTACCTGTATACAATATTATGTTCCTCAGATGATTGCAAATACATGTTTTGGATGGAAAACTGTAGCGCAACGCATCGCGAACAAGAGTAAAGTGCCATTTATATCGATATTCCAGAGGAATTGAAAGTTGTCAAAAATACAATATTGTGTTTGTCAGACAAAGCATACGGATAATAATATTAAATATGTTCCATATTACTAGAAATGTCTTTTTTATCGTAAGATTTTTTTTAGTCATTTTTTGAGAGCGGTGTTTTTTTCACAATGTTAGCACAACTTAGCACAATTGGAAAAATTGAAATACATGGAAAGTGGGGGGCTGGCGTATTTTTCACATTACGATTTTAATATTCGGGTACAATGTAGCACAAACCTAGTACAAGTCAGCATAATTGTAAAATTTTAATAATTTTACAAGTGGGGGACTAACTTCTAGTAGGCGAAAAAGGACCGAAGTGTTTTAAGTGTAACGAGTTCGGTCATATTTCGGTCAAGTGTCCTAAATTAATGGGAATAGAAAAAAACAAAGTGGTGAACTGTATACCGAGTACGGACGGAAAATTCTATGTGGTAAAAATAAGTAACTTCGCGTGTAGTGCGCTGATAGAACGGGAAGTGACGTAAGTCTAATCAGGAAAGACATTTTCGTAAAGATTACAGATGTGGAACTATGTCGAACTCAGCGGGTGGTAACAGGTTTCGGAAACGCACAGACAGTTCCGCTAGGTCGATTTAACGCTGAATTAACAAGGAGAAGGCTCAGATTTAGTTGAAACTTCATACACTTATAGATCTTGTTCCCCTGTTTACGAATATATACCATTATAGGCGTAGATACTCAATAGTTTTTTAGATATTTATATTTGAAGTTTCATTATACCGAGAAATATAAATTTAGTGAAATGTTTCGACCAGAAGTGAACTGGCGAAGTGGCAACGTACCTGATACAACATACTCAGAATCCATTCGTGGTATATAATTTTTTTTTTCAATTTATTTACTGCAATTAATTGGATTTCAAATATATATGCAATAATACTATTCATGACAAACAAGAAATAAAAATTGTGTGCAAACTTAATATAATAAATAATTAAATCAAAGCATACCTCGTTCACTGTGCCTGAAAACAAAACATATAATAACGAAAACATTTCCACATCTAATAAATGTAGTTTTATTGCACGCACATCTGCTCGTTTTGGTGTTAATGTCCTTCCTAAAGTGTGCTTTGATTTAATTATTTATTATATTACTTTTGCACACAATTTTTATTTCTTATTTGTCATGAATAGTATCATTGCATATATATTTGAAATCGAATTAATTGCAGTAAATAAATTGAAAAAAAAAAAAATTACATACTACGAAGGGATTCGAACCCGTGCCTTCTGAGTATGTATCAGGTATGTTGCCACTTCGCCAGTTCGTTTCTTGTCGGAACCTTTCAATAAATCTATATTTCTCCTTATAATGAAACTTCAAATACAAATATCTAAAAAACTATTGAGTATCTACGCCTATAATGGTATATATTCGTAAACAGGGGAACAAGATCTATAAGTGTACGAAGTTTCAACTAAATCTGAGATCCGAAGTGCTTGCCTTCTCCTTGTAAGTGTAAACGGGTGTGAATACCGGATTGACATTTTAGTGGTACCGACGGAAACCATGGCGGCAGAAGTGATACTAGGACAAAACTTTTTGACGAAAGTGAAGGTGAATATTCGGGGCGGTCAGGTCATCGTGAAAACAGTGAGTTCCGAAGATTCGCAGAAGATCATTGCCGATAAGGAAACGGGTGAGTGCGACGAAGGGGGTGAGGTAGGGCATGATCATACGAAAGACGTTACGACCGAGTTGATGGCGATAAATTACATAGATGAAGGCGAATTAGATATGCGTTCGCCATATCGAGACGAAATAAAAAAGTTAATCGCGGGATATCAGCCGGCCAAAGAAATAAACACATCTATAGAAACGAGAATCGCGTTACACAGCGAGGAACTAATTAGCGACCGAGATGACTAGCTCCGAAAGAGAAGGCGATTCTCGATAAGCAGATCGACGAATGGCTGAAGAAAGGCGTGATTCATCCTAGTTCCAGCCCAATTTTCAAGCCCAATGGTAATTGTTCCAAAAAAAAAACGGAGAGTGCCGGGTACGCATAGACTATCGAAAAATAAATAGACGAATGGTGCGCGATAGATTTCCCATGCCGCTTATAGAGGACAGTATAGAGGACAGTAGATTCTTTAGCTGAAGAGCGCGTGTTTTCAGTAATAGATTTAAAATACGGGTTTTTCCACGTGCCGGTGGAGAAAAGTAGTAAAAAATATACGTCGTTTGTAACCCCTAGTGGACAGTATGAATTCGCAGACACCATTTGGTCTTTCTAATAGTCCGGCTAGTTTCTCACGTTTCATAAGCGAAGTATTTGAGGATTTGATCAGACGAAAGGTTGTTTTCGTTTATGTTGACGATTTGATAATTCCGGGAGAAAATGAACAAGAAGCGTATGAGGGACTGGTAGAAACGATAAAAGTAGCGGAGAAGAGCGGATTAGAAATTAATTGGTTGAGATCTAAGTTTTTGCAGACGCGTATAGAATACTTGGGCCACGAAATCGAAGGCGGGATACGTGTATCCGTCCCCCACAAAAACTAAAGTGGTACAATGTTTTCCGACGCCGAGAAATAAGAAACAGGTGCAGAGTTTTTTAGACCTCACAGGCTATTTCAGGAAGTTTATCTGTAATTATGCTAAGTTAGCTCGCCCATTATCAGAATTACAGTAAAACCTGGATAAATGCAACGAAAGAATGCTTGGATAAGTGCAACATCGCTATCCCCTCCACTTAGGGGGATCCCCCTAGACGAACCGAGCCGCTCGACGAGAAAACCGTGTAATATGATCCGAATGTAATATCGGTGTGACTAACACTAATTGAACGATAAACTTGTTTTATTTTTAACTTTTTCTTAATGAAACTTTTACTAACGCATTTGTGAGATTTTTCTGATTAAAATGAAACCAAACATGATATAGTTTGAATTATATTTATAAACAATAGTAATAGAATAAACAACATAGAATTGACATCACGACTGAATATAAATGATGTCGGCTGAATACAAAAGATGTGTACGGACACAGAATCGGCATGTCAGCTGAATACAAAACATGTGTACAGACACAAAATCGGCATGTCGACTGAATACAAAACATGTGTACGGACGCAGAATCGACACCACGCTTGGATAAGTGCAACATTAAATGCCCAGAATCGACACCTCGCTTGGATAAATGCAACATTAAATGCCCAGAATCGACACCTCGCTTCGATAAATGCAACATTAAATGCCCTGAATCGCCACCTTGCCTGGATAAATGAAACCTTTGAAACCAGAGCCGACACCGCGACTGGTTTTGATTTCGATCTCTGTTGCTTTTCGCCAACATTTAACATCAATTTTAGCAAGTAATTATAATTCAAACTATATCGTGTTTGGTATCATTTTAATAAGAAAAATGTCACCAATCCGCTGGTAAAAGTTTCATTAAAAACAAGTCAAAAATAAAAAAGTTTTATAGTTGAATTAGTATTAGTCACACCGATACGTTTCGGCTCTTTCCTTTCATCATCGGACCTCTCTCTTTCTGCCACTGTCTGTCCCTTTCTACGTTCACGCTTGGCTGGTCGTCGCGTGTAACCCGAGATTCGACACCTCGCTTGGATAAATGCAACCACTGGGTCCCAATCTTGGTTGCATTTATCCAGGTTTTACTGTATTGAAAAACGAGGTTAAATTTCAGTTTGATACAAATCAACCAAGAGCGTTCAAATCAATGTGTCAAATGGTCCGGTGTTACGTATTTATAGTCCTAAGGCGGTAACAGAATTACACATTGACGCGAGTAAAGAAGGATATGGGGCAGTTTTATTGCAGAAAGATGAGGGAGAAGAAATGTTTCATCCAGTGCTTAATGAGTAGAAAAAGGTCAGACGCGGAAAAGAATTCATAGAATTATCATGTCGATGCGATGAGTCAGTGTCCGGTTCGCATCACTGAAGATAAGGTGATCGAAATGCTGCGAGGAAGGCAGGACGAAGATGAACGGATTCGAACGATAAAACAAGTGCTGAGAAATGAACCTTACGAAGACTATTTAATGCAGAGTAATTTGCTAATAAAACAAGTAGGGAATAAAAGATTTGTAGTCGTTCCTGTTAGTATGTACACCGATGTTATCAGAAGAGTTCACGGGAATGGACATTTTGGGGTGAAAAAGATGGCCTAAACTATATACTCAAATTAACAAAAAAGTTAGAAAGATACGTAAAGTGTTGCATACCGTGTGTATTGGCAGAGAAGAAGAAGGGGAAAGTGGAAGAAGAGCTTAAACCGATACCGAAGGGAGATGCCCCTCTCTCAACATACCACGTGGATCATTTAGAACCGATGATCATACAATCATACAAATATCTTTTCGTAGTAGTGGATGCGTTTTCCAAAAACGGTGAAGACCAAAGAGGTATTGGATAAGTTAACGGTGCAACAGAAGATTTTTGGAAATCCTTCACGTATAATTTCAGATAGAGGTACAGCTTTCACATCGACAGAGTTCGTGAATACTGTAACAAAGAAAATATTGAACACATACTCATCACCGCAGGAGTTCCCCGAGGAAATAGTCAGGTGGAAAGGAAAGGATACTAACGAAATTGTCGCTGGACAACCCGAACAGATGGTATCGCCATGTGGGTAAGGTGCAACAAAGCATAAATAATACTTACCAGCGTAGCGTGGGAATGTCACCCTTCGAGTTGATGTTTGGAGTAAAAATGAAGCAGAAGAAAGATTTAAAAATTATTCAACTCATTCAGCAGGAAGTAGCAGAAATGTTTGCTGAGGAACATGATCAGCTGAGAGAAATTGCAAAAGAAAACTTAATCAAGATTCAAGAGCAGAACCGACGGAATTACAATAAAAATATTAAGGCGGCGATCGTCTATTGGGAAGGGAATCTCGTGGCTATTAAACGGACACAATTTAGTGCTGGATTGAAAATCAAGGCAAAATTCCTGGGGCTCTATAAGATTACAAAGGTGAAAAGGAATAATAGATACGAGGCCGCGCGACGTGTCGCGTCATGCCTGATCGAGGATGCGTTTTGTTTTCTAAAGTTAGTCGTAAAAAATCCGTCGAGTAGCATGGTCGACGGAGCGTTACATTCTTTTTGTCTATTTTATTTCGTTCTTTATGTATTCATCACAATTAAAGTTATTTTCTTAAATTTCGAAACGAAGAATCTCCATTCATTCGTCCTCCTCGATTTACTCGATTCTACATTAATAAAAAATTTTCTTACCTTTTCGTATATTTGCAAAGTACTTTCCCATTTTTGTTTGCTATTACTTCTACTCATGGATTCAGCTAATATTAGTTCTATTTTATGCAACAATTCATCATTCTGTTTGCACTCTTTGATTTTCAGTGCCTGCCTCGCAGCACTTTCTGCATCTTCCCAACAATAAAGTTTTGCATTTATTTCGCTCAATGTTACCCACCCGTACACTGAATTTGGTTTTAACACAAGTACATCTGTTAATATTTCTCGTGCTCCGACCAAATTGTCGTGCTCCTTTAAGTATACTGCTTTAGCAACAGCTGCACTTTCGGAATTTACATTTAATTTTAACAAAGATTCATAGAATTGTGTTATATCAATGTCAATATGATTTTCATACAAAATATTTTGTTCATAATAGACTTGGCATATGTATTCTGTACAAAGAAAATAGTAATAATTAGAAAAACATAATTATTATTCAACTCATTTTTAATACTTACCCAATGGCAAGATATCTTGTGGAAATTTCTGATGTACATTTATAGCTTGTTTAATTAAAACCATTAATTCACTTCTGTTATATAAAATTTTTAAATATTTTCTATAATAATCCTGCCGATCAGACACACTATCATCGTTGATTACAGATACAAAAATACCCTCGAATGCACCTTGATATTCTGGTGTCATCAAACCATTATAATTATTTATTAATATCCATGCTAGTGTTTTATTAATCAACATAATTTTATCATCATCTAATTCCTTTTGTAATTTAAATAAACTTTCAATACACTCAACTAATACATCACTATCTTTAACTTGTAAAGAAATATCTAAGAGTTTATTTAAAGTAGTTGAAAATTTAGAACCACTGTAAATAAATGATTGAATAATAAATTTTAATAGATACATTTTAAATAGAAATGAAACTTATAGAATGTGTAAAGATTTTATACCTATCTAACTTCAAAAGTTTGCAATAAGCTAATATAAGCTTATTATAAGATTCATCGTCGTGTAAATTTGTTTCATAATAAATTACTAAGCCTTGCCAAGCTAATGGATTATCTGCTTGTATCTGTATAGCTTTTTGAAGAATCAATGGTATTTGTGACTTGTGTTCTTCAATTTCATTCATCGCAACAGCCAACAGAACAAGAGTTCCATAATGATTTTTATCTTTTTTTAATATCTTTTTACATTTCTTTATTACATCCGCAAATTTCTTTTGCTTATATGCCTCACGAGCTTCTTTATAAGCTGCTTTCACTTCGTCTGACATGTTTAAATTACAACAAATTTTTGATAAATGTTAAAAATATACATTAATAATTCAACTTCTGTAATGAAACATTTAATTGCCGATATTTTTCACTGTGTAGTTTGATTAACTTTTATGTATCTTTGAACATCACATTACATTTCTAACATATATTTCTGTTATTATTTCTTTACAGATAAATCTTATACAATTTTATTTTACACAGCTTTACAATTTATGACTCAATTACATTCAGATTACTGTATTACAATGTGTGTGCTTATCAATACAAAATATAATTTGGTTACGTTTTCACAGTACGTGTATGAAGTTAGCCCCGCACTTTTCGAATTTTGTATGTTTTGAAATTGTGCTGCATTGTGCTACGTTTGTGCCGCATTGTGCCGTAAACCGCAACTCTGTAACAAAATTTTTGATAGCCCCGCACTTTTCGAATTTTGAGTTTTTCTTTTTTGAGCTATGTTTGTGCTGAATTGTGCCGCAAACGAGAGATCGAAAATAAATAAAAACAAAATTATACTAGCCCCGCACTTTTGTCGAAACAAACTTTTTTTTTAAAATAATTTTTGATAACTTGTGCTACGTTGTGCCGTCGATAGAAACTCGATATCTCTATTCATTTTGAAGATAAAAAATGTTGAATTTTTAGGAATAAAAAATTTACTATTCGTATAACTTACGAACGGCGACAGATAATCGAATTCTGCAAGTTGTGCTGAATTGTGCTACTTATAATCTGTGAGATACATGCGTTAAAAGTTGATATTAGCTTAACTGTCAATAAAAATTAACAAAAAAGGGTAGGGTGATTAAAAAATTTGAGATTTTCGAATTTTCTTTGATTGTGCCGGATTCTGCTAGACTAGCACAACAACTTTTTCTAATGACAAAATTTCGTCAGATCGCCAGATTACGCAGCACTGGCAAAGTTAGGAATTTGTATGCGTTTAAAAGCTGGATAAGTGCAAGAGAGATTGGGACCCAAACATTGTACAGTAAAACCTGGATAAATGCAACGAAAGAATGCTTGGATAAGTGCAACATTTAATAATTGAACGATAAAACTTTTTTATTTTTAACTTTTTCTTAATGAAACTTTTACTAACGCATTTGTGAGATTTTTCTGATTAAAATGACATCAAACACGATATAGTTTGAATTATATTTATAAACAATAGTAATAGAATAAACAACATAGAATTGACACCACGACTGAATATAAATGATGTGTACGGACGCAAAATCGACATGTCGGCTGAATACAAAAGATGTGCACGGACTCAGAATCGACACCTCGCTTGGATAAATGCAACATTTAAATGCCCAGAATCGGCACCTCGCCTGGATAAATGAAACCTTTGAAACCAGAGCCGATACCACGGCTGGTTTTGATTTCGAACTCTCTTGTTTTTCACCAACTTTTAACATCAATTTTAGCAAGCAATTATAATTCAAACTATCGTGTTTGTATCATTTTAATCAGAAAAATTTCACCAATAAGCTAGTAAAAGTTTCAGTAAAAAAAAGTCAAAAACAAAAAAGTTTTATAATTGAATTAGTATTAGTCACACCGATACGTTTCGGCTCTTTCCTTTGATCATTGGACCTCTCTCTTTTTCCCCACTGTCTCTTTCTACCTTCACGCTTGACTGGCGTCGTGTGTAACCCGAGATTCGACACCTCGCTTGGATAAATACAACCACTGGGTTCCAATCTCGGTTGCATTTATCCAGGCTTTACTGTATACATATATCCAGCCGAGGTGGCGATTCTGCGTTCGTATGTACACATTGTTTGTGTTCAGCCGAGGAGTCAGTTCTATGTTGTTTATTCTATTATTATTGTATATTTATTCTATTATCATTCTGTTATTACTGTTAGCTTGTAAATTACTTTAATTTTCAATAGGAAGGAGCTGTTCGGTTTCATGGAAATCACGGGCTGTTCCTAACATCATAAAGCACCTAATTTGCAGTCAATACTTTAGCAGCATATTCAGAATAAATAAATAAATAAATGAATATAATTCAAACTATATCGTGTTTGGTATCATTCTAATCAGAAAAATCTCACAAATGTGTTAGTAAAAGTTTCATTAAGAAAAAGTTAAAAATAAAAAAGTTTTATCGTTGAACTAGTATTAGTCACACCGATATAACGGTTCGGATCGTATTACACGGCTTCCTCGTCGAGTGTCTACGTTTGCTTAGGGGGATCCCCCCAAGTGGAGGGGATAGCGATGTTGCACTTATCCAGCCAATTTTTTGTTGCACTTATCCAGCTTTTACTTACTATTAAATAAAAGATTTTATTGAAATACATTTCTCTTCTTTTCGACACCTGTTACTTATTATATTATTATGATTATTATGATTATTACATTATTATTATTGATTATATCTTACAGAACCTATGTAATATTTTTTATTCATTTTTATTTCTAAATGATTTCTAAATGAAATTAGAAGAAAATAATTTTTTTTTCTAATTTTTTTTTCTATTCATCATTTTTTCTAAATGAATATTTATTTACCTTAAAAACACATACTTTACACTTAGAACTAGAGAAAAAATAATTTCCAATGAACTAAAGAAGGTTATTAAGTTACTTCCTTTAAAATATTTTACGTCTTAAAAAATATCTTCGAAAGGTTTGTAAAACGAACTTAACTCGAATCACCGAAGAAATAATAATAGCATTGACCAGATAAAATATCATCTCATGTCTCATGATACAGTTCAGCACCGACACTCGTCGTTGGTAAACTCACTGATTCAGGTTCTGTTTCTTACTGCGGCCGCAATATATTCTAGAGGGCGTAAGAAAATGTCGAATTTTTTCGCCACCGCAACCTCCCATAAGGATGGCAGTCTTTAACAATATCTTGTCGGTGACCGGGTACTCCAATAATGACACCCCAACCGGTAACAAAGAGATGTTCAGCTTCGACCGGTCGACGCACACATATTCACATAATACTGTGGCTGCGATGAGCGCGCGGTCGAGCGCAGAAAACGAACAAACTGCGCCCTACAGAAAAAACGAGGAACTAAATTTGTGGTCTGTTTTACCTTTTTGACGTCTTTTGGGAGTGAAAATCGTAGTTCTCAAATTACTTCTACCTGGAGACTTGTACATCATCCCTTGGATGCTCGTTTTATTCTATCCGACGCAAAGAATATTAGTCTAGTACCTATTTCTACATACGATTCATAGAAATGTTTATATTACGAATAAATCAATGCAGGTGTGTCCGATCCGCTATTTTGTTGACCGTTGACAGACAAAAATTTCAATACTTTAGAACTTTTTGACGATTTGGGTAATATAAGGACCAGACTAATATTCTTTAGAGCCTCCTGAACACGTCCCTCAAATTTTTTTGCATTCTGTTTAGAAATGACGATGTAATTTGAAAACTCGCGTCTAGGGATTTGTTCAATACAATTACATAACCTTACATGTCGTATTTATATACAGATATTTGTTTTGTTGCATAACTCTCTTAAATTTAACTCTCTTAAATGCAACAATTTTAGAAGAAAATAAGGAAAATACAGTTAATGAAATTTCAACAGCTGAATGTGAAGAAGGTAAATTTAAAATGTTATTATATATATATAAATCGTAATATTATATAGGGGGAGTTGGGGGACATTGATACAGACATCATATCTCCGCATGGAAAACATCTAAGGTTATTTATCGATGCACAAATGAATTATAATATATGAATTATAATAATAATATATGAGATAATGTATATATTGTTTTTACTGTGTATAATAAAAAGAAAATATACTTAAATACTAAAAACATAATACTAAATTACTTAAATTACTAAAAATGATTTATACCTAGTTCTTAGAAATACTATTACTATTTTATATTTAAGTTATAAATTCAAGTATTTTGTAAGCATTTTGTAATCATGAATATAATATCTTTAGAAAGTATTTATAATAAAATTTCTTTTATAGCCATTAGATTGATTCGAGACATAGGCAAGCAATATAATAAACTACGCATACGGCACACGGCCTTTTAATAGTGCGAAGCATCTTTCAACAACTCTTGCAGACGATTGACGGAAATTAACATTTTTTTGTGCAGCGGTTAAATGTCCGTTATCTTTAAACGGAACCAAGAGATGCTGATGTAATTCATACGCAGAATCTCCAACTAAATGATTCTCAAAAGGAAATTTGCAGTCATCATTTAAATACTCAGCAACTTCCGATTGTCTGAAGACTCCCCGGTCATGAACTGATCCTAGATGACCCACATAACAATGAGTAATCATTGCCCTGTGATTACACACCACCTACAATCAATAAAAAAATTAAGAATACAAGCATAAATAAAATTAATACATAACTTTTATAGATACTGTAGTAAGAGTCTACCTGAAGTTGAATGGAATGGTATCCTTTTCGATTTATATAAACTTTTGTAGCCATCGTTAATTGAAAATGCAAGGAAATCTGTTGAATAGATAGGATTTATTGGATTAGGTGAGGTTACAGGGTGTAGGATACAGTTTTCCTTTTTATTTATTCGTACAAAGTTTTTTACAAGGAGCGCCATGCTTATACTTTTCCCGTTCGATAGGCGTTCAGGTATTATCGCCGAATTCTCCATATCGAACGGGCGTCTCGAAAGCTAACTTTACTAGGGCGTCCAGGAGATGCTCTGTACTCTCTAGACCGACAGGCGTCCAGGTATTATCGCCGTACTCTCCGTGTCGGTCGAGCGTCCAGGAACAGGTCTCCCGTACTCTCCCTTCTTCCGGTAGGCGTCCAGGAATTATCGCCGAACTCTCCTATCGGGATCTCTCTCTCTCTCTTCTCCGGCAGGCGTCCAGGTATTATCGCCGTACTCTCCTGCCGGAGTCCCTAACCTGCTGACCAAGAGCGGCCGATGGTCTTACCTCGTCCTTTCTCTCTGTTAACAGCAGGCGAAGTAGACCGAGGCCGCCGCGAGCCCTTATTTTATATCCGCTCGTTGCTATCCGTGGTCGCCGAAATCAACGATCTCGTCGTCAGGAATGAATTTGGCGTTTTCCGCGCTCGCGTTCCGCGTCTCCGCTCGCGCCTCGCGTCCCTGTCTCCCGCGATACTCTATCGTCGGTTTTCTCGAAATCGTCTGGACGTTTCCAGACTGCGTCGCTTTCGCGAAGTTTCTTTTTTACCATTGTTACACTTTAAAATTTTCTTTAGGTACTTCAATTTTAATGTATGTTCCGTCTATAGCGCCAATCGTTCGTACAAAACCACTATTTTCTTCAAATTTACGCATTGTAAGTTGAGCTTCATCACTCGAAGGCCAAGAAATACACTGACAAGGGGACCGCCAAGGTGAGGACATCGCTTTTGGATCGGCAGTAGGTACAAGTTGTAGTA